AGACTTGTAGCAGTCCCACCACCACGTTGTAGTTTGTGACGGCTAGGTCCTCCGGCAAATCGTCGGTCAGCGTAGTCGCACCAAACCACCCCTACCGCTCAAAAGACGATTTATTTTCCATATAACACGCCGCCGCACCTAACGCTCTACGACATGTTACCTAGTTCGCATTTTATAACAATTAGGCCATTTATTTCATCTTACACACTATCGGCGCCCCACTTGGCTACTTCATATTACCGCATAGGAGCTCCTCATTGACGAGGGAAAAGGACAGTGTATCGCGACTTTTAGTTTTTCTTCTAGAGCGTCCCGAATCTAGAATTGTCTACTTTGGTCTGACATTTTGATTTGAGGTACGACGTTGAGTGCTCACGCCAAACCAAGACGGGACGGCTCAGAGTACCTCCCTTCGTGCCGTCACTGTCCGGATTTCCCCTTAAATCTTCCGCAACCCCATCCCCATCACCAGATATGTGAACTAACCACCCCCCCTCCACCAACTATAGTTCTTTCAATGTGGCTTTCAAATGATAGAGGAAATATTTGTTTTAGTATGAGCAGCCACTCACCAGCAGAGACATCTGTCCCTCTCTGACGATGTTGATGATGTTCTGGTTCTTCTTGGTCTCCTCGTCCACCTCGCCTCCTGCTCCTCCACCTCCTCCGAACCCCCTTGGCCCCCCGCTGCCTCCGCCTCCCCCCCCTCCTGATACAGCAGCCCAGGCCATGGAGGCGTCCTGCCGGCCCACGCTGCACCCTGGCAGGGGGAACATCATCCCCGGGCCCCCACCTGGAGGATCTACACTCTGTCTCTGGCTCTGGGAGTCTGGGTAGACCCGCGCAGACAACAGCTTGTCTGGAAAAGATTTTTCAAAGATCAAATTATTTTATTTAAAACGTATTTTACCAGGAAAAGCTTTTAGATGCAATGTTTAAAATGTGGAAAGATTGAAATAAAAACCTTATAAACAAGCTGTGAAGAGGTCACTGTGTTGATGCTAGGTAAATACGTGTTGTTATTGTGTTGCAGAAATAAGCCCTACAACCTAGAAATTAGTTAGCATGGTAGAATGGATAACCTTTTGCTCCAAGTTTTTTTAAACATGTTTTTGGCGAGACGCATGAAATAAGGTCTATGGTTAGCACAACCTCGTGAATGTCCGGAGTTCTATGTGTCATAAAAACAGTGCTTGCTAACAAGTGACTAAATAGGACGACTGAACACCATCACGCCGACATGAGACCACCTTTAATTTAGAGATGGTGGCGTGCAGTCATGCAATCATGTGTAGTTTGTTTATAGCCTAGCGTTGTATTGCCCCTTAAAGAATCTCAAAGTGGTGTCAATATGTGGAGATTATCCTGCTGAACAAAACATGGAAGTATAATAAATGTGTGTTTGCCTCAGATCTAGCAACATTCCAAAATCCAATAATAAAATCCTATGGCGAACCGTGTCTACCCTGAAACCGAGGGAAACTCTGAAAGAATACGCCCATTGGCTACAATTCAATATATGATTGGTTGATCAAACTGTCAGTCCAAACGTACGCTCTCATTCAGTGCAACGGCCAGGGCTCTGGGCCAGGGCCTTCGATCAAGGATATAGAATACCTTGGTTGAAGGATATTCTACCAAGAGAACCAGAACAAGATCTGATTGGTTGCATTTTTTTTCTAATACAAAACCACTCAAACACGTAGTGCATGGTCCGAGAAGGACAAACAAATCAACGTAACACTGTAATATTACAGATCAACAACACAGATACGACTCTCTTATTCATTTTATTTACATTTTATTTATATAATTAAATCGATTTTTTTGTTTGTTTTATCGGAGTGTTCCAGGGTATCCTCTGAATACCTTGAAGGCCCTGACGGTTCACCACTGATAAAATCCCATGTGCTTTTAGTCGAGAGAGACCTTGCAATGCTAACAGCTGGTTTGGAGCACAAAAATACGTCATCACCGCACCACTCTATTGTGTTGCAGAAATATGTTCTAAGTTTAGCATGATAACTGACTAGCCCTGGCCCATAGCAAAGCAGTGAAGTCTTTGAGAAGATGCATGCATTTATAAAACATTACCTTAGTCAATCAAATACATAAATGTAGCAATGGCTTTTGCATCAAAGTGGAGACTTATTTCTGAAATAAAAACTCAGCCTCAACTTCTTCACAGGTTGCTGAATGTGTGAAGAGAATTGTACTTAATATTAATATGAAGATACAGACTCAATCACATTGCCCTTAAATGTAATAATAATTGAAATGGTCAGTATCACGAGAATACTTACACATCCCTATGGGGGGTTTATGCATCAATGAAGGGTAAACCAGAAGGAAGAATAAAGGTTGACAGAGTGTTTAGGCCGTACCTGCATCGGAGAAAGAAGAGAGGGAGGAGGAGCAGCTGAGGATCCCGGAGGAGAGCAGCTCCGACTGGTAGCCTCCTCCAGCGGGGGGGCGGTGGAGGCTGTGGAGGTCTGGATCCATCGACTTGGACTTCCTGAGGTCGGACCACTTCACCGGAGATAGGACACAATACTGCAGCAAACATGTAAATGAACAGCTGATTACATCATTCATTCATAAAGCCCACATTACATTCTGAAACAGAAGCCTTTAAAAGAAAGCTGGTTTAGTAGATAAAAGGTTATAAGCAGCACTATTGGATTTCAGTGTAAACAAACATGTTTACATTTGGTGTTACTCACCGTGCGTGCGCTATTACATTTCATATCTAATTATCTTTTATAAATGAAACAGTTTTCCTGCTTTTCGGTGTTGCTGGTAGCGTATTTGAGCTTCATTTGGTTAATTATGTTAAATTGTTGATCACAGCAACTTAATAACTGTTATTCATCTACTTACACACTAATACTGCTCAAGCACTTCCCTTGTCATAAAGACTCTTGTTAAATCCACAGTGGTTTACACTCATTTAAGCTTGGCTAATGTTAGCTACTATAGCTGAGCAGTAAGCGGTGGCGCATTTCTCTTCTTTTGCTGCTCTCTACTCCTTGGTGTGTCTCATGATTGGTTACTTCCCTGCCACCATTACTGGTTAAAGTAATTGTTTAAGTGTAGTTTAGTTACAGAGTTGGAGGCCAGAATCAGGTCAGCTAGAAAAGCAGCTTCCTACCATAATATGTCAGTTGTAAGTCGCTGTAGCTGTTAGCTCTGGGTTTTCAGTTCAAGAAAGAACTCTGGGTATTATGCAGGCTTATCTTCTTTAACAAACCCAGATGTTTTTCTTTACTATGTTGACAGATCCAAACAAATTAATTTCGTTTTTCCAAATTGAAGAACCCAACATGCCATAGTTTGAGACTTAGGCGGCGGGTGAGGGTTAGGATAGGGAAGCCATTGAACAAATCAATGACTTTATTTGTCAGAACTTTCTCCAATTAAACAAAGACAAAACTGAGGTAATGGTTTTTGGAGCCAAGGCAGGACGTATAAAAGTTAGCGCTGAGCTTCAGTCTGCAATGTTCAAAACAACAGATAAAGCCAGAAATCTAGGTGTAGTCATGGACTCTGACCTGAGTTTCAACAGTCACATTAAAACAGTTACTAAATCAGCCTACTATCACCTAAAGAATATATCTAGGATTAAAAGACTAATGTCACAGCAGGATTTGGAAAAACTTGTCCATGCTTTTATCTTCAGTAGACTGGACTACTGCAATGGTGTCTTTACAGGTCTCACTAAACAATCTATTAGAAAGCTGCAGCTGATTCAGAACACCGCTGCTCGAGTCTTCACTGACACTAAGAAAGTGGATCACATCACTCCTGTTCTGAAGTCTTTACACTGGCTTTTTTGTAAAGCACTTTGAATTGCCTTGTGTTGAAAAGTGCTATATAAATAAACTTGCCTTGCCTTGCCTAATATTAGTACGAAATTGCAAGCATGAAAAGTATGAAAGTTTAATTTAGAAGTACCGGAGTTTGTGAGCTGCTGCCCAGACTCAGAGGCTCATTGTGGGGTAAAGTGGAACTCTTCAGCCCCCCTCCCCGGGTCCTCTCCAGGGTGCCTCCGCCCAGGGTGCATCCGCCCAGGTTGCATCCGCCCAGGTTGCTCCCCGTCACCGAGCGCTTGTCGTGGGGGACGCGAGGCAGTGTGGACATCTGCTGACTGGACTTGATGTACGGCACGTCCAGGATCTCGTCCATGTCCAGGTCATAGTGCTCCAGCTCCCCGAATAGAGCCTGGGGGTTGTTCCCTCCGACCACTCCCCCGCTGCCGCCGTCCGCCTTCCCCCCCGGACCCTCAGAGGAGGTGGAGGCGTGGGTGGGTTTGTCAGAGTTGGGGTCATCCTTACTGGCCTCCCCCGCCTCGCCCAGACCCTGGCTCTGGACTTTCCCCTCTGAGTCGCAGTAGCTGGTCTCTGGTTGGTGTTTGAGAGGAGAGACCCTCTTCACTGGCCGGAACTTACTGTGGACCTCAGCGAGCCCCGTGGGTTTGATTCCCCCGCTGCTGAGGGAGGAAACGCTGCGACTCCAGTTGATGGCTGGAGCTACAGGAGGAGGGAACATGATAAGAGATCAGTGGAATGTAAAAAAGCGTCTTGACTCCCAATATTGGATTAATGCCATGCTTTTATCTTCCCGCTAATCCTGCTTCATACTGCACCCCTCAGGTTTTACATTTTAAACAATTTCACCAACAGTACACTCAGTAGATGCAATTCCACAACACAGTTTTAGTTAAAAGAATAGTAAAAACGTAACAAAGCTTTGATTTTATAATATTTAGCTACCTGGTCTCTCCTCGGCTGGGCCATCACTCCTTCTGGATAATTCTGGGATGCTCTTCAGGGACGTCACGGAATACTGAAGGAGTAAATATTTTTCAGGAAAAAAAAACTACAGACTGTTTGATGCGTAAATTAACAGGTTTATGATATCACTGCCCCATCTAAGACATGAGTTGATAAGACTTTAATTTCATTTGAGTGTTTCTTCTAATTAATGTGTTGTTATAAATAACACTTCTGCATACAGTATGCAACAACTTTCATTGTTGCATACTGCCAGATACGGCTCAAGAAGCTGAAACAGATATGGAAATATTATGATGTGATTGATTATGTGATTTGAGTGATAAGTGTGACACATCGGCGTTGTGCACTTACAGTGCTGACTGAACGCAATGCTCTGAATTACTTTGCTCTGGGTACTTATTTTTTGCGGCAGATATTTAAGTAAGCTTGCTTACAGCAAATGTAATAATAGTCCGATAGTTCTGAATATGGGCAGTGATATTCTATTTGAATGTTCAAACAGTCAGCGAGTTATTGCTAGCCTTTCCTGTATGTGTCAGTGTAATCTGTGTTTCCTTGAGCCTGGAATGTGACTTCATTGCTATAAACTCCCCACACAGAGCTCTGATTGGTCAGCAGGCGGTGCTAACATTCGAGTTGATCTCTTACCTCGAACAATACCTGCACCGGAGCAGGTTAGGTGTTCACCATAAGTTACCATGGCTACTATCTACCCCCCCGGTAAGAAGTGAACCAGCGTTGTAGGACAGAAAACTGAGTTAACCCTGAAGTTACCTCGCTATCCCCAAATCCTGCTTCGTAGTGCAGGCCTCAGGTAGGATGCTGGGTTGAGGTTGTTGTTTGTTAGATACAGGGCCGCCCCTCCCTACACACAGATCACGCAGACTGTGTGGGGCCTCATCTTCGGAGGGGGCCTCATCTTATGGCTCCTGTTAGACTATTTACATCACACTCACCACTGAATCATCAGAGAAGTCGATCTCATCCAGGTCCAGGTATTCAGGGTCTTCCATCTTCACACCTCATCATCAGCCTCACCACCAGCTGCAGATAAAACACACACGTTATCCTACAGCAATGTACAAGTACATTATAGAGCACTTTTTAACTGCTTTACATTTTCAAAATCTAAATATCTCTCACGTTAGTCAGAGATATTTTTATTTTTATGCATGTGCTTTAACATGTGCTTCAATGACTGATGATGTAACACCTTCTGTGTGTACGTTATATGGAGAAGCATACTCCATAAATATGATCAAGTAAAACACTATTGGGTTATATGTTGCAGGGATACAATCAGCAGGAATAAAACACAGGAAGCTGCAGAAGGAAACTGAGAACAGTTCTGTGGAAAACTTCCAAACATTTTTTTTTTTACTGAAATTACATACTGAATAAACAGGAAAGTGTGAAAAATGTAATTCTAAAGGGGGGATTACAAACTAACAAAAGGCTGGAAACAAAATGAGCTGTTTGATTTTAAACTCAAATCCTTTTCAGTAATACTGTAGGTTTTAAACCGTTTAAACCGTCAACTGCACAAACGTCCTGAGCTGTTGTGATCAAAGGCAACAAACAGCAGATAATCAGCTCTAACCAGAGAGCAGCGTGCGTTGCAGAGAACACTGAGATTTAAGATGCCACACACAGCCTGAACCCACATGAGAGTAGAGGAGCTAGTGGGACAATGTTGACAGTAATGGATTCGGTTCATTTTCCAATTTCACGTCATTTCTGGCCAACTTAACTCACAGAAATCAACTTAACTTCAGAGTTAGTTCACTTCCAGACAAGCTATCAAGGTGGTTCAAATTAACGGATTTGCTTGATCTTACTAAGTAACACTCACGCTTCTATTGGCTAGCGCTCCAACACATTGTACGTGGGCTAAGGGGTTGGACATCTACAAGCAGTTGACCAATCACAACAGAGCCGGCCAGCTAACCAATCACAGCAGACTGGGCTCTGGTTTCAGACAGAGGGTGAAAAGAGGTGCTTCAGCACAGGCAGTATGAGGAAAATAAAGAGCTTTTTGACCATTAAAGCATGGAGACATGTCACAGTAGAGGAATAAAATACAAATACTAACATGAAAATAAATGCCTCTTTA